AAAACCCCCCAAAATGGGTAAATTTCAGGGTATATGTAAAACTTACCAAGATTAAAACAAGATGTAGGAAATACAAACAGAACCATAACAAGTAATGAGACTGAAGCAGTCATTACGTCTCTCATCAAAGAAAGGTTTAGGATCTTATGGCTTTACAACTGAATTCTATAAAACAGTTTTGTAAGCACAACTGGATTGTGTTGTTTTCAGTAGTGTAGTGATTGACTGGAATGAGACCATAATTAGCATATTTACAAGTGAAATAAAACTGGAGGAATATGTCAAATATCACATAGCTGTGTGAGTGTGTACACACACACACACACACACACACACAAACCATTGCCTTGTTCTTGTTAAAATAAATACCAAGCAGTGTTATTTGGGGTTGTCGTAATGTGCTGAGGTCAGATGCAACTTTAGCCAGTGACAAGCTTAAAGGCTGGGGGTGACACATTTCAGGATAAGGACATGTAAGGGAAAGAATGCTGAGAGCAAAGGGCTTCTGGAAGAATGTTCGTCCCTGAGGACAGAAAACACTGGTTTAAGATACCAGAGCTGTGGCTGCCTCTCAGTGGGGTCTGGGTGGGTTTGGGGTGACTGATGAGGAAGGTGCCAGGAGATTCTTAGGTAGTAAAGAAAATCTTCTGTATCTTAACAGGGTGACACCTGTGCATGGATTTGCCCAAACGCATCCACTGTACACTTAAGACTTACACGTTTTATTATATGCAAATCAGTAAAATTCCATCTTAAATTAAAAAGATAAAGAAGATAGTAAGCATCTGAATCAAGAGGCCCAGCCCCTTTCATCTTGCTTTGGAATGTTTTTTTGGGAAGATAGGATGCCTGCAGCTGCTGCCACAATCCTTTGACCCTGAAGAATGTAACACACTGAGGATGTCTCCAGTTCAGGAGGTGAAAGCCTGGGTGCTGATCCAACACTGGAAACACGTCCCACAGCATTTCTAGTTGCTTCAGAGAACTGAATGTCCTCATAGCTTAAACTGCTTTTAGCAGAATATCCTGTTTCTTACACTGAAAGTATCATATCTGATATAATCAATGTAATTGGAAAGTCCTACACTGAAATTCATAAAAGGATTTGTACTGGCAACTTAACTTAGCTATCACTAATTTTGATCTTTGCAGTAGTTAAATTGAGGGTCCGGTGTTTGGCATAGTAGATAAGATGCCCACATCCCACATCGGCATGCCTGGCTCCATCTCCTGACTCCAGCTTCCTGCTAATACAGATCCTGGCAGGCAGCGGTGATGGCTCAGGTACTTGGATTCCTGTTACCCACATGAAAAGCGGGACTCCCGGCTTCAGCCCAGACTCTCCACAGCCACTGCAGGCGTTTGGGAAGTGAACCAGCAGATGGGAGAGTTCTCTTTTTACCTGTTTGTCACTCTGCCTCTCAAATAAATAAGATAAAGCTTTAAGAAACTGAAATAGTCCAAGGATTTTAGTTATCTTCTAGCATAGTTCAAGATGTCAGTGTGATGTGATTGCCAAAAACACAGATTTAGAGACTGAGTGTGCTTACAGGATCCAGAATCAGACTCTATGCTTTCACTGCTCTTAGGCTACGCAGTATTGCAGTGTAATGGCATATTCTGCATACTGCATTCTGCTCCCTGGACAGTCACCACTGGTCCTCATTTATTCTCAGTGTAGCTTTGCCTGGGTGACCATCTTATACTTGAGTTCCCATACTGCTGGTAGTTCCTGAATTGTAGCTTTAGCCCTAGACGATCAGAAAGTGATAGAGCCAGTTTCCCCAAACATCATCTCCAAGTCCTGACTATGTTCTGTCCTCTCCGAATGTAGCTGGCCAGCCCCTTGGCCTGAGTGGTGTGAACAGCTGATGTTTATTTCTCAGAGATGGGGAGACTGTGAAGTCCAGGATGAAAGCATCGTCAGGACTGGTGTCTGGTGAAGGCCAAGCTCGTGGTCTGCAAATGGCTGTCATTGTTCATGGGATGGTAGGAGGGAGATGATTAATCCTGTCTCTTCCTTTTTCAACAAGGTCACCAATCCCACCATGAGCTCCCCATGCCCATGAGCTAATATAATCCTAATGACCCCCAAAGCCCCCAACCTCCAAATGCCATCACTTTGGGCCTTAGCATTTAAAAATGTTTTTACTAACGTAAAGAGAACAGATTTTAGTACTTCATAGGTACAGTTCTAAGATGATAACCATACTTCCCACTCTTTTCCCTCAGCCTCCCACAATCCCTCTCCTTCCTTCCTTTCTTCCTTTTTTTGTTATTCAGTTTTTGCAGAGATAATTTCAATCCACTCTATAATCACAGGCTTAATTCACCACTAACCATAATATTCAACAAGTATGCTTAGTGAAATAAGCCAGTCCCAAAAAGACAAATATCATGTGTTTTCTCTGGTATGTGGCAGTTAATATAGAACACAAAAAATATATAGGAATTAAATGGACATCTTGTGATATGATTGTCTTTTTTAGCCTTTGTTTATACTCCTGTGGGCCTTAACATTTTGAGACACAAATTTGGAGGGGACCAAAAATGTCAGTCTGTAACACTTGCCCTGCTAGAATCCTTAGCTTTATCCTTGGCTCCTTTACTATTCCCACTGGGATCCGTAGTCTGCCTTTTCCATGAATCTTAGCATTGCTATCTCTTGCCCACCCCACTGGCACTGTTTTAGTGTAGGCTTCATGTTAGCCACACAGTTTCAAGCTGTCTCTCACCTCTAGGCTTATCGCCTTCCCAGATCCCGTCCACTGCTGACAGATATGATGTTCCTGCAAAACAAATCTGATCATAACTATTCCTGCTTTCAGGAAACACGCCTTCTGTTGTTCTTCTTTTGCCCCCATGCTCTCTGCTGACAGTGTAAAATTCAAACTGCATGCTGTCTGCAACCCAAGCTTTCCCGCTAAATCGTGAATGCATATTGAGTAGCTCGTTTCCTTACTATTTCTCTGATTTCTCTTCCTTGCAAGGAAGTCTTTGTGAGGACTCACTCTCTCAGTCTGTCATAGTCCATTTTTTTGCTACTATAATGAAATACCCAGAACTGGATAGTTATAAAGAAAAGAGGTTTATTTTGGCTCATGGCTATCGTCAAAGGTCAAGGACACACATGTGGGGATGGCCTTCATGCTGGGAGAGTACCTGGGTGACACAGGCCACAGATGGCAAGAGCTAGGGAATGTGACGTTCTTACAGACTCGCCAGTGTTCTCTCCTGGAGACGTCATCTAGACGACCTTATTGAATCTTATAGATATTTATCTATTTTTGTCATGTTTTAGGTTACTTTGATATCTTATATGCACTAATAAAAAAGTTAAAAAGTGTTTATCAGAAATAACAAAGACAATCACTTTTTAATATTTAAAAAGAGATCTTGGGGCCAGTGCTGTCATGTAGTGGGTAGAGCTACCACCTGTGGTTCCAGCATCCCATATGGACACTGGTTGAGTCCCAGCTGCTCCACTTCTGAGCCACCTCTCTGCTGTAGCCTGGGAAAACAGTGGAACATGGCCTAAGTCTTTGGGCGCCTGAACCCACGTGGGAGACCTGGAAGAAGCTCCAGGCTCCTAGCTTAGGATTGGTCCACCTCCTGCCATTGCAGCCATTTAGGGAGTGAACCAGCAGATGGAAGACCTCTCTCTCTCCCTCTCTCTGCATCTCTGTAACTCCACCTTTCAAAAAAATAAATCTTAAAAAAAAGATACATTTTGGAAAGTGCTACAGACATCAGAGGAGCAAACTTGAGGAAGATATATTGTATTTAAAATCATTTTAATTTTCTTGTGGAAACAATGAAGTAGGTTTTTTTTACTTTCTATTGTAAACCAGGACACATTTTTTTTTTTTTCAGTTACCATCTTACTCTCAGCTTTGGTTATACCTGATAGTCTCCAATTATCTCATTTTATCTTAACACTGTTCTCCTTGTATCTTAAATTTCAGTTTAAAGTCTATTTATCGGGTTGGCATGGTGCTGCAAAATGCACTCCTCTCAGTTCTCAGGAGACGCACCCTGTCCCTCAGAGGGAGTCTGTTGCATTGACAGCATAAGCACTAAATAACAAAACCTAAATTGTCTCCTTCCCTGCTTCGGTAGGCTGCTACTTGATGCCATTACATTTCATTCCTTCTTCTAAGTCATGGCTTGCACTGGAAGGAGAGATGAAAACACTCCTCAAGTCTCTAAACCAAGTGCCTCTGGCTTTATCATCCATTGCCATATGAATCAACAACAGAACAGCATGGGTTGTGAATTTGGTAAATCACAGGAAGCCTCCTGAGGAAACGTCTCTCATCAGCTCCATCATGATGGATTGCAATATAACTGAGAAAGAAATAAGATGCATTCCTTTTTCTCCCACATCTGAAGGATTTGGTTTGGATGTTTATCCTTGGACTCTCATCTGTGGTTCTAGAGAGACCAACATGCATTTACCCAACATGTAAAGGATATGTTACAAATTATTCACCAATGTACACAGTGTCGCCAAGGAATCTTTTATAGGGCTTGAAACTTCCCTAAGATGACAGCTACCATATAAGGGACTAAAAATCTGAGGTTGAGCTTGAACGTGTGCCAGACACGGGAGAGTCAGAGAGATACAATAACGCTGCCTCCAGGAATCTCCAGTCTGATCAGAAGCTGGCTCTCCTCAACACTGCCAGAGGCACAGAGTCCTGCTGTAACATCAGGCTACTATAAAAAGGGTGGAGCCGAGCCGGCTCACGCAAGTGCTCTGAGATGGTTTCATAGCAATAAGGAAACATAACACCACGATTCTTTCCAATCTTAGAAAACTACATTTCAACTTAATAAACATTTGATAGAGGAAACATTTCAGAAGGACATGACACACATAGGAATAATAATCTGAAAGTTATATCCACGAGACAAAGAATGATTTAAATGAAATCTTCAAAGAATGATTTAAATGAAATCTTCCATCCAAAATGATAGCAATGCTGAAAATTACTTACTTTTACAATAAGCAGCTTGGTCAGGTTTTCACATTTCTGATCTTCATGGTCTGCACATTCTACTTCAAACAGGGTGCTATAGTTTTCCAAGATTTTAGCCATTATCTTATTGCAAAGGTCCTGTTCTTTCATGCCTTCAAGTCCAGGTGACACACTAGAAATAAGAAAAGTAAAGAGAGGGATTATGTAGAAAAAACCAAAAATACCAGCTTAGTTGACTCACTTATATTTTGGCATCTCTTGAACGATTAGCTTTCTTATGTGGATATGTGAGATTTTCAATAAACTCTATGGTAATAATGCATGATGTTGTTTGGACAACTGGAAGTTCCCAAGAGCTGAATTAATAGTTCACACTGAATAAGAAAACTACAGGCTATTCAGGAAGAAGTAACAGATTAACACTGATATTAGTAAGGCTTTTTAATATGTTAAAATTGTTACACATAACATTTTTAAAAATTTTTAAAAGATTTATTTATTTATGTGAAAGGCAGAGTTACAGAGAGGCAGAGGCAGAGGCAGAGAGAGACTGAGGTCTTCCTTTCGTTGGTTCACTCCCCAAATGGCTGCAATTGCCTGAGATGGACTGTTTTGAAGCCAGGAGCCAGGAGCCTCCTCCGGTCTTCCACATGGGTGCAGGGGCCCAACGGCTTGGGCCATCTTCTACTGCTTTCCCAGGCCATAGCAGAGTTGGATCAGAAGTGGAGCAGCTGGGACTTGAATCAGCACCCATACAGATGCCGGCACTACAGACGGTAGCTTTATTTGCTATGGCACAGCGCTGGCCCCAACACATAACATTTATGTAACAGTGAAAAAGAATGAGTGTAATAACAGAAATACTCAGCAGCACAAATAATACCAACACAATCATTAAGGATTTCTTAGCTAATACAACAAAAAGTTTAAAACTTAAAGGGAAAAGTGAATACTCTTGGGAAAAATACTGGTAATTGTTGAAGCTGAGTGGATAAGAACATGGAAGATTATCCTATTCTCTCTTTTTTGGGGTATGTTTAAAATTTTCCATAATAAAGGAAGTTGAGAACAAGTCTAAATGCAGAATACACCACAAACAAAGCAAAAAGAAGCAACAGAATGGAAGACAAAGATCTTCTTCAGTAATACATACAACTGATTTATGATTAATAGGCTGTGCAAAGAACTCGCACTAATCACTAAAAAAGAATAAATATAAAAGGAAAAGACAACAGATAAAAGTTGGAAAACACATAGAAGAAAACACCTACACTATCCATAACCTAATGAAAGAATCCTTGCCTCAATGAATAACCAGTGAAATGCACACAAAAAGCAACACTTAGCCATGAATCAATACCCATTTGTATTATTTTCTTTTGCTGCTATAACAAATTACCATGAACTGGGTGGCTTAAAACATAACTCTACTGCATTTCATTTCTGGTAGTCAGAAGAGCAAAGCAGTATCACTGGGCCAAAATCATGGTATCAGCTGGGCTCTACCCTCTACAGGGGCTACGGGGAGGATCTGTTGCTCACTCTCCCAGCTTCTGGTGGTTGCCAGCACTCCTTGGTTGTAGCTGCATCCCCTAATATTTAATTAATGCTAGGATCTTCAAATCTCTACCTGTTTGATCTTAACATGTGGGCTTCTCCTCTGTGTACATGTCCAATCTCCTTCTGCCTTCCACTTACAATGATATATGTGATGGCCTTCCAGGTCCACCCAGAGAATCCAGGATATTCCTCTTATTTAAAGGTCTTTATCTTATTCATGTCAACAGAAACTTTTTCTCCCAAATAAACTAACATGAGCTGCTATCTTGGGGCCAGTGCCGTGGTGAAGAGGATTAAAGCCTCAGCCTGCAGCGCCAGCATCCCATATGGGTGCTGGTTTGAGTGCCAGGTGTTCTGCTCCCAATCCAGCTCCCTGCTAATGTGCCTGGGAAAGCAGCAAAGAATGGCTCAAGCTTTAGGGCCCCTGCACCCATGTGAGAGACCTGGGGAGAGCTCCTGGCTTCAGACTGGCTCAGCTCCGGCCACTGCTGCCATTTGGAGAGTGAGCCAGCAGATAGAGGATCTCTTTCTCTCTGTTCTCTACCTCTTTCTGTAACTTTGTCTTTCAAATAAATAAAATAAATCTTTTTTAAAGAGCTTCTATCTTGGCCGGCGCCACAGCTCACTAGGCTAATCCTCGGCCTGTGGCGCTGGCACACTGGGTTCTAGTCCCGGTCGGGGTGCCGGATTCTGTCCTGGTTGCTCCTCTTCCAGTCCAGCTCTCTGGTGGCCCGGGAGTGGAGTGGAGGATGGCCCAGGTCCTTGGGCCCTGAACCCGCATGGGAGAACAGGAGAAGCACCTGGCTTCTGGCTTCGGATCAGCGCGGTATGCCAGCCACAGCGGCCATTGGGGGGTGAACCAACAGAAAAGGAAGACCTTTCTCTCTGTCTCTCTCTCTCACTGTCCACTCTGTCAAAAAAAAAAAAAAAAAAAAAAAAAAAAGAGCTTCTATCTTTGGAGGGTCATGCTCAGCCTACTAGCCTATCTGTGAGACACATACTCCAATATGCCTTGGAGTGAACTACATCCTGTATAAACCCCTGCCTTTGAGGGTAGACAGCACCTGTGACTTGGAATTCGGCAAGGGATAAGAGATGTCACTCCCATGATTAGAATACATTATAGGAGATTCAGTCTCAGCAGACTGCAGTGAGAGTCACCTGTTGACCTTGAAATAAGCTCCTGTGTTGTGATAAGGCCACATGGCAATGAACTATGGGGGCTTCAGGTGGTCCCTTGCTATAAGTACCCGGTAGGAAGCTTGGTCCCTAGTCATGCAGCTGCAAGAAAATCAATTTGCCAACAACCTGAATGAGTTTAGAAGCACAGTCTGCTCGTAACTCAAGTCTCCAAATAGAAATGTGGCCAAGCTGCCACCTTAATTTCAGCATTGTGAGGCCCTGGACTCCTGACCCATGCCAACTGTGAGACAGCAAATATTTGTTGCTTTAAGCCACTAAATGTGTGGTAATTTTTACAGCAACAATAAACAGGGAATATAGGGTTTGGTACCTGTTAGTGGGGTGTTGCTACATAGCAAATATCTAATCTGTGGACATAGATTTGGAACTGAATAGTGGGGAAAGCTGGAAGGAATTTGGGTAGTATCCTACATAAGCACAAAATGCCCTGAGCAGACTTTAAGGACACCACTGATGAAGGCTCTGGAGGAAATGAGGGACATATTGCTGGGAATTGGAAGGAGGAAGATTCTTGTTATGTTGGCAGAAAGCTTAGCAAAATTGTATCCTGCAGTTGTACGGGAAGCAGAACTTGTAAGCACTGAGCTTAGGTATATAGTTAAAGAGATTTCCAGGCTCTGTTTTCAAAGTACCATCTGGATTCATCTTGCCACTTACAGTAAAATATGAGAGTGAGAAAGAAATTGAGGGAACTTACACAAATAGGAAATGAAAGTTGATTTTTAAAATTCCAAGACTCTCCAGATGGCAACAGACACTAAAATTAAGAGAGTCACTGTGAGGCAAGCAGGCTCTACAGCAGAGATTGAGAGCGTGACTGCACAGAACTTTTTGCTAAAACCCCAGAGAGACCAAAATCCTGCTATTCAGCCATACAAAGATCCCCTTCACATGTTTATTGGTTTGTCTCACAGATCCTTGCCATCAACTCTAAGGGTCTCCAGGAATTCATAGCCATTGTCTATGAGCCAAAGATAGAAAAGGGATTATTTGGAAAAGATCTGTGGATATGTTTTCTTTTAAAAAAAATAATGGAAATGAATTCTTGCTAAAATCCACAACAGACTCAAAGTTCTTGTAAAGTATATTTCATCACCCGCACACAGCTAAGTTGGAATGAAAGACACAGAAAGGGCACAAAAAGAAGGCAGGCAGTTGGATCCCCCAAATTCCATTGGCCAGAAGTAGACTGATATAGCTACTCAGCTGTAAGCAGGTGCTGCCTTTCATGAAAAAGGAAGGCTCAGAGGGCAGAATCAGGGTCAGCGAGCGAAACAGAGCCACGGAGGAGTATGCTCAAGCCTTGGGAAGGGCTGGTCCTGCAAGGATGAGGGGGGAGAGGGGATAGGTTATGCAGTAAGTACAGCTGCACACGCAGTGCCACACGCAGATACACAGAGCCTCTGCAGTGTTGAGTTAATGGGAGCCAGGAGTGATTGGGAAACAGTCTAAGAAGTCTAAAAACACTAAGAAACATTGCTCTAGTTCCTTTACCATGTTATTGTGAAAATTTAATGCAAGATTCTAAAACAAGATCCACCTGGAGGTGACTGAACAACACAGAGAAGAATGAGGCTTTTGGAGCAAGGTGCTACCTGGAAGGGCTGAGCGAAGCACTCAGGATCTTGAGCTAGAAGACAAGGGTTCAGGTCCCTGCTCCACTGCTCATGGGATACAACTATGGGGACGTGGCTTAGGAACCTTAGGGTCTTCACTGTAAAACTGACACGATAGTAATATTAATATTGTAGAGGTCTTGTGAGAATGAATTTTTCACAATTGAGGGAAGAATAGTTTGCAAAACTAGGAGGTCAGAAGAGAGTCGGTGGTTGCCAGGGGCTGGGAAAGGGCAGGAGTGAAAGGGACATGAGGGAACATTCTGGAATGACAGAAGTGGTATCTTAATTGTGGTGACTGTGAATGAATGAGTCTTCTCTGAGCTTAGAATACTATCCTAAAAAAGGGCGCATTTTCCAAAAAGGAAACCTGTTAAAGTGAAATGAACACTATGAGAAACGGTGACTTGATCAGCCCTCACCCTGACTGTTGATGAGCAGCTTAATATGTTATCCCTCTTAGTATTTTTTTTTGTTTGTTCTACTTAATACTTTTGGTTGAATACTGTAATCAATACACAATTCTTCTTAAGTGCTGAAACTTAACTGAAAAGTGATCGCTGTAAAATATAAGAGTGGGAATAAAAGAGGGAAGAGATGTGCAATTCGGGACATGCTCAAGCTGACTACCTCAAACGGTAGAGTTAGAAACATACCAGGGGATTCGAATTCAATCCCATCGAGGTGGCATGTACCAATGCCATCTCACTAGTCCAAGTGATCAATTTCTGTTCACAATTGATCGTAATGATAGGACTAAGAACCAAAGGGATCACATAAACAAGAATAGTGT